GCTGCAACTTGGCAGTGGGATGTGCCTCCTCAGGAGAGGGGTCCAATGGCTCCCATGGCAACCATTGGATTCCTGGATGAGCACCCAAAATTGTTAGAAAGGTGAGCCGAAAAACCAGGGGTCCTGGTAGAACACAAAGGATACTCGGGAGCCAGACAGCATGGCAAATACCTTGCCTCCTGCAGGAGGGTGCACCTGCATAGGGTCTGGCACACTGAGCAAGTGGTCCACTCGGGTTTTATCTGTTCCTCACTCTTGATTGGTCAGAGTTTAGGCTCACATTCTTGTACAATTGGCTAATTTAAAGGAAAAAGGGGGTGGGGAGGTTGATCTTTGTGGTTTCAAAATGGCAGTTGGCTTAACTTCCTTCTTTGACAGAAAAGATTATTTGTTTATTCTCACAACATTTACCACTTTCTACCATAATATATATTTATTTTACTTCTTTGATAATTGCTTTGTCTCACAATACTATTGTAGAATGTAAGCTGTTTGAGGGGGGAAAATGCTGGTGTTATTCACTGCTAACCTCCAGTGCCTGATACAAATGTGTTGGAATGCACTAATTAGTAGGATTGACAGCATTTTCTTAATTGCTGGTGATATAACTACAAACATGACAAGGTTCTTGTCCTTAGAAATGTGGTACTTCGTGTGGGCCAGGGATAGACAATGAGCAGAAAACAGATAATAAAGGGAAAACCAACAGGGACTCTCCATTCAAATGATGGGGCAGTGAGAACCTCCTGAGGAGGCAGCGCAGCGTCCCCAGACAGGGAGACAGACCGTGAGGTCAGCGGCTGCAGGTGCTGAGGTGGGAGAGCCCTTCTCTGCTGAGAGACATGACAATTAACGGAGCAGAGTGAGCAACTTCCACACACAGATTGACTTCTCTCACTCCACACCTTTTGAAACTTTGAATTTTTGTACCTTTTGTATGTATTCCCTGTTCAGGTAACAAATTAAGTTTAAGAAATAAAAGGAGCACTCGCTAGTTTGGCTCAGAGGAGAGAGCATCAGCCAGAGGACTGAAGGATCCTGAGTTCCATTCTGGTCAAGGGCATGTACCTTGGTTACAGGCTTGATTCCTGGCTCTGGTCAGGGCATGTGTGAGAGGCAACCAACTACTGATGTGTCTCTCACATCAATGTTTCTCTCTGTGTGTTTCTCCTTCTCCCTTCCACACTCTCTCTCTAAAAAAAAAGAAAAAAAAAATCAATGGAAAAATATCCTTGGGTGAGGATTAACAACAATAAAGTAAGACGTTAAAGAAAAAAGTCGCTGAAACCGGTTTGGCTCAGTGGTAGAGCGTCGGTCTGTGGACTGAAGGGTCCCAGGTTCGATTCCGGTCAAGGGCATGTACGTTGGCTGCGGGCACATCCCCGGTAGGGGATGGGCAGGAGGCGGCTGGTCGATGTTTCTCTCTCATCAACGTTTCTGGCTCTCTGTCTCTCTCCCTTCCTCTCTGTAAAAAATCAATAAAATATATTAAAAAAAAAAAAAAAGAAGTTAAAGGAAAAAGTCGCCAATAAACCCTAGATAATGAGCTATATGAGTAACTATGCTTTTATGTGGCCACTTCTACATTAACATCAAATCAAGATAACTGGCTAAGTACTGTACAAATTTGCAAAGTGGGAAACAGTTATACAGTTTGTACTTACTAAACTACTTATTTGCATTTTTTATTATACCAAGCATGCATCAGCAGTGATTTTTTTAAAAAGATAATTAGAAAAAAGCCACAATATTTATCATCTAGCTAAGTGTTGAAGCTGAAAAAGAAGGAAAATTGACATAATCCATTAGAAGAAAAAAATTGCCAGTGATTACCCTGTATCCCTGCCAAAAACCATCTGAATAGTTTTCTTTTCAGAAAACACAGATCTTTTCATGGTTCCTTTTGTGAAAATCCTGCTTCCCTGCAAACCAGCGCTCCAGCACTGCCACTGGGAGACTCCAGCCACAGAACCTGTGCCTGAGGCTGCCAGAGGACAGCCGTGTTTCTCACGGCGCGTTTCCACGGACACGACGGCACGGAGCAAATGTCTGAATGTCTTCTCCCGGGCATTTATTTATAACAGCGGAGATTCTGAAGTTGGCCACTTGACAGCAAAAGAAAAACCACACACACACACACACACACACAAAAAAAAACAAAAAAAAAAAAACTTCCATAATACCACTGCCAAATGAAATGAAAATTAATTTCCTCCTTCCTGCTAGCACAAATAGAAGCAGAGCTGGCCACTGAAATACTTGGTGAGCAATTTAATAAACACCAAGTCTGCAGATTGGTTACTGGAACTGGAGAAATTTGTAGATAGGTATGTGAAACATTCTATGACTGGATAAATGGACATTAACTCCTGACCCTAGTTAATCTCTAACTTCCCAGTTATGGGTTTTTTGTTTGTTTCTGAGAGAGAAGACCAGACGTATATCACCTCGATATGATTTGAAAAAAATAATTCCAAAATATTGAAATTTACTAATTAAAGTAGAAAAATGCCCCAAATTCTAAGTCCAGTGTTTTACTTCATATTTATAATTTAGGCCTCACACAATAATACCTAAGTGAGCTCAGTGAGCCAAAATGGGAAATCCCTGAACACCACGGCTAAATATTGTTGAGTGATTACGGTAGTAAAACAAATTTTTCTTATATAAAATGCTCTTATTAAACAGAACCACCACAATCTAATATACACTGGGGGAGATCAAATTATAAAATGGTTAGCTGCACTGTTAACACAAGCTCATAACTACATGCAATTAGATAAGCTAAAAACTTTCATATCATCAGTATATTGGATTGCTGATGCCCTGGAATCCTTTGGCAAATATATTTTCAACAATATGCAATTATCCACAGGATGTTAATACTAAGCAACCAGTTGTGATTTCATAGCAGTTTCTGCCCTCTAGTGTAGAAATTGGTGGTGTGTGTGTACTACACACTGTAAAGTGATGCTTCTCAGGGAGGTGTCTTTTTTTTTATTTTAATATTAGCATTAAGGTATAAATCTCTTTACGAATTATACCATTTTGCCAATGTCTTTAAGTAAAATGAATTTACTGTAGATTTAAGTGCCTGGGGTCTAGTGCCACCTAGTGTTAGGTCGTCTTCAGTTATTTCAAACCTGAGCACATACTATAATAGTAAGAATGGAACTTAATGACCTCCTTCTCCCATGCCAGTCCCCAGGGCCCAATTTCTGCTTCCAGGCATTTGCCAGGAACAGGAATCAAACCATGACCTCCTGATTCATAGGTCAATTCAACCAAATGAGCCACACTAGCCAGGGATAAAAGCTGTCTTTAAAAGTTCATTTTAGTCCTGGCCAGTTTGGCTCAATGAATGAAGTGTAAAGCTGTGGACAGAAGGATCCTGGGTTTGATTCTCTCTAGAGCACGTACCTGGGTTGTGTGCTCGATCCCCTGTGGGAAGTGTGAAGAGGCAGCCAACGATTCTCTCATCATTGATGTTTCTCTCTCTCCTTCCAAATCAGTAAAATATATATTAAAAATAGTGCTTCGGGGGGAAAAAGTTCATTTTAGCCCTAGCTGGTTTGGCTCTATGGATAGAGCGACTGGCCTGTAGACTGAAGGGTCCCAGGTTTGATTCTAGTCAAGGGTATATGCCCGGGTTGTGGGCTCAATCCCCAGTAGGGGGCGTATAGGGGGCAGCCAATTAATGATTCTCCGTATGCGTGTTGTTAGGCCCGAGAGCCTCTTCCATCCTTGTCAAGGGGAGTGCTAACCTTCTCTCCTTTCATACAACACTAATTAATGATTCTCATCATTGATGTTCCTATCTCGGTCTTCTCCCTTCCTCACTCTGAAGTCAATTAAAAAAAAATTTTTTTTTAATTCATTTTATTGGACACATTTCTTCAGCTGCTGCACTCAAACAAAACTTACCTTACCACTGGCAAAGAGCTTTCCTTGCTTGCCTAATGAACCACTTGGAAACATGACCACCTTATAACTTTTTGGGTAAAAAAACTGCTGAGTCCTAGCCAGTTTGGCTAAATGGATAGAAGTTTGGCCCTTGGACCAAAGGGTCCCAGCCTCAATTCCGGTCAAAGGCAAGTATCTTAGGTGCATGCAGGAGACAACCGACATGTCTTGTCCACATTAATGCTTCTCTCCCCCCTCCTTTCCACTCCTTAAAAATCAATGAAAAGGTATCTTGGGTGAGGATTAACAAAATTGTGCCGAGATAGTCCATTTAAAATGTTTAATTAAAAAAAGTAAAAGTTTAATTCTTTTTACGTTGGGAATATTGCGATACTTAGTCTGATAATGTCTATATATATTGTGTTCTTTTAGCACAGCTGATGTGTCACTGCCATCTGAATTGATAAAATAACCCAGTCCACCATGAACACGTTCTCTGCAGACTGGATAGGTATGCACTGGCAATCAAAATATGTAAAGCCCACGGTCCTGAGACATGTGCCACTGCCACTGGTAGTGCAGCCAGCAATGAGGACCACATCTGGTCTCTATCACAACTGAAGTCTTGTACCACAAATGCTGCCCTCTCAGCCCATCACTTTAGAGTTACTAATGGATAAAAAATGTTTGATGGCAGTTTTCAATGAACGTGGATTAGCTAGTACAAAAGCACATTTCAAAGGCATTAGAAAATTAAAAATATTTGAGGTGAAAACCTATTTTATTTCAAGACACCCAAGTCCCACTTGCATACAAATAAATTGTAAAAAAAAAAAAAGGCACATTTATTTGCTGGTCACTGTTTACCATGAAATACAATTCCACATTGATGATACTGAAGTGGTTAGTAGTCCATACTAGCTTACCAAGAACTGAAATTAGGAAAACGACCATATACACATATCCTAACATACACTCTTGAATTGCCTTCTCACTGTACTTAAATGTCCAGTTTTGACCACTGGATGCTGAAGTCTAAAATACCCTCATGGGTTAAGTATGCACAGCCTACTCAGAGAACGATGTAGATGACAAAGCAACGTTTCATTTTCTTTATTTAACAAACACTGCAGCTTAGTATTTAAACCTGCAGTTAAAGGTGACGCTTTTATGCAGACAGGCACTGAAGGCAGGTATGGTCTGGGAAGAAAACTGGGAGACCAGGGTGGCTGTGTTTCAGCTGGGGCAGGCAAGCAAAAGTTACCAATTCCTCCTACTGATGCAAACCAACAATGTTTCTTCCAATATACAGTCCTCATAATAAAATCACATTTCCCAGAAGTATTATTCATAATACATTCGAATCACTGATTGCTTTTTCTTCGTCTTTTTCTCCTTGATGTTGTAGGTGTTGCAGTCTCTTGTATTTGTTCTTTTATGCCAGATAAGGGCTGTTTGAAAACTATTTCATTATCTTCATCATCATTCATTTCAGCCACTTCAGATTTTCGTTTATCCAAAAATGTTGGTGTACAAACTGGTGTGGGACCCTAAATTCAACAAGAGATAATAATACGTAAGTGTGGGAAGCTATGAGCAATGATTTTACCCCTCCCCTCTATTTTCACAGGTTGTGCAGTGTTATTTCAGGCCTGCTTCCATCTTTCAGTGACATGATCACACAGAAAAGAGCTTAGGTGCTTATCAAACTTACTATAAAAAAGTCATGATAGATTGTAATATAATAGGCTCCATTATAGGGTATGAGGTAGAAAACCCTAATCTTACATTTGTGAAAACAGTGGCCTCCTCTCTCCTAACTCAGTCACATTGCTTAAGAGGTACAAAGTGCAATAATAAACTCACTGTATCTGCTAAAGTCACAAATTAAATGTGAAAGAAATTTTTCTAAATATTTTTATTGATTTCAGAGAGAAAGGGAGAGGGAGAGAGAGAAACATCAATGGGAGAGAATCATTGCACACCCGCTACTGGAGATTGAGCCCACAACCCGGGCCTGCACCCTTGACTGGAATCAAACATGGGGACTCTTTAGTCTGCAGGCTCAGCTCTATCCACTGAGCCAAATCGGCTAGGGCTAAGTGTGAAATTTTAACAAACTGACAGTAGCAGGAACTGCTTCTCCTCTTTTGAATTAAACTACCTGATTCTCAAAATATTAAAGAGAATCTCACCTGGCTATCCACAGTATTCTCAGGAGTTTTAGGGGTGGCTGAAGCCTTCTTCTTTTTCTTCTTAGGTAAAGCCTGCAATAAAGTTTAAGAAACTTCACCAATTTCTCTATTTATCAGTTTTAGAAGTTGGAATATATTTACCCATTTACCTTTCCCTAACAACTGGCAAGCAAAAAAAGAAAAACTTTACCTGTCTATTTGTGGATTTCTGAAGGTCAGTGTTTGAAGCTTTGCTTCTCTCCTTTTTACGTAAAATCTTAAGTAAACCAACACAAAGAAGTTATTACCTGGCAATATCACATATTTACATTTTTAACTTACCATTAGATCCTTACACATATTATTAGCAGTATTTCAATTTAAAAAGCAAACTCCACAAATATAGTGAATGATCTCCAGTGAAGGGCAAAAAGTAGAACAGGGGCTGAGTTGGGAAGGGCAGAAGCTGTAAAGTTGAAGTGAGGCCGAGACCTGAGCTGGCCCAGGGTCCTGCTTTAGAGGACCAGCTCCAAATGGTTCCTAAGATGACCAGGGCCTGCTGCCTGGCACAGATTTTTAAACACATAAAGAGTGTTTGGGATTTAGGCAAATGATTAACAACCGGAACTGGAGGTAATCAGCCTTCTAGTTTCTGGATAAGGCTAGAAGACTTAATAAACTTAGGAAGAGATGCCATCCACCTCTTACCAAGAAGCTGTTTGAAAGTAAGCTGAAAGGGTCTGTGAAAGATCAAACCAACCTCAAAATTTAGTGAGAAATAAGATTGTTACCTATCCTAGCCACACCTAGGGACCTGCACTCTGTTCTGCAGTGCAAGACATAGCTCTCCACCAGGAGAGCCGGAGGGAGAATCGGCCAGCAAGGACATGGGGACTGCTGAGTGACATCTGTGCTGACTCAGCTTCATGCCAGCAGGTTGGCTATACTAACCCCTGCTCACTTAATTCACAGATGACACTGCTGGAATCTGATATGCACTTTATTTCCAATTTAAAAGAACAAGAACAAAATTTTAACTGGAATGGCATAAAAAGGATGGCCAATTTATAGTCTTGTTTACTGATACCATGTAACACCAAACTTCATTTAATTCTGGTAAGGACTCTTTTAATAGCAATCTAGAAGCACTGTGGTTTTGTTTGAATAGTGACTTAAAAAATAAATAAAAAAATAGTGACTTAACTAAAACCTAACCCCTCTCTGAAATGTCCTTTCTGTACCATGTGGATTATAGGGTCTCGTCTGACACACTTTAGGAAGAACTTACAATGCAGTGCCTCAAAAACTTAGTCAAACCCTAGTACGTGGTAAGCACTGAGCTAGAAACTTTACAGAAAAAAAACAATACCATGTTATAGCTACTGAGGTACAAAGCCCACATCCAAGGAGAAAAACACAAAATATATTTCTGAAGGAATATTTACCAATGAAGGAAAATCATAATTAATTCCCTTCTTAGCTAGCCTCTTTCTGAGTAATTTTTCTTTCTTTTTAAATCGCTCCTCCATCCGCAGCTTTCCAAGGAGTGTCCGGTTCTGATTGTACCGTTTCACTGCTGGGTATGACGGGTTCTTAAACGGTAGATGCCACTCTTTAAAAAGTTCCTCGTGTACTTTCTCAGGCGGCATAAAATGACCTATGTGAAAAAAGAAACAAGTTTTCAACCAAGTGGGGAGGTACAACATAGTACTGATCCCCACATGCGGTCCTCTGACAACCTCCTCAGCTCTTCCTCTCCTTCCTCTCCGTGAATGAACTCATGCCGTCAACAAGGCTGCTGGCACTCTGTCATGGCAGGAGGAACCAAAATGAAGAGATGCTGGAGGGAAGCCGCCCGGGCAGCTCATCGGCTGCCTGATCAGATGTGCCTGACTTGGGTACCTGGATAGTCACACACAGCCTCCGCCCCCCAGCATCCCAAAACTTAACTCTGCCTCTGAAGGGGCCTGGGGCCCAGACAGGGCTATGCTGGGATGTCAAGCTGGAGGCGCTGGTTTGTGTGAACTTCTAGTCTGGAGTTGTTATGGTTTCTCTGGTAGAAGAGCTGTACCACTGCCATTCAGACCAACTCTGAACTGTGACTCCCCACTTCACTGTTATCCTATCTAGAGCCCATTCATGGTTTCCCACTGTCCTCAGGACACATACTGAACTCTCAGATTTATGAGGACTTCACAGACCTGGCCTCCCCTCGTCTTCCCCCTCGTGCTCTTCTCCTCACAGTCCCTCATAGGCAGACACCACTAGTCACCTCTAGCTTTGCATGTGCTGTCCCCACAGCCAGGATCTCAACCTTCACCCCTTCCCCGAACCTGGCTCACTCCTATTTCAACTCCAGACACAATATAGGAGTTTAGCATAGAGGTCACCAACAATCTATTGATTTTAGAGAGGAAGGGAGAGGGATAGAGAAACAACAATGATGAGAGAGAATCATTGATCAGCTGCCTCCTGCACTCCCTCTACTGGGGATCGAGACCCAACTCAGGCATTTGCCCTTGCTGAATCAAACCTGGGACCCTTCAGTCCGCGGGCGGAAGCTCTAGCCACTGAGCCAAACTGGCTAGGGTCAGATTTTAATCTAAACACTTCCTCAGGGAAGCTTTCCACACCCTTTAAGGTGGGCTAGTTGTTCTGCCTCTGTGCTCCTAAAATCACTCCCCAATTCCATCTCAGCACAAACACAGCTCAGTCTGCTTCAGATTTAAAAATTCTAATTAGAACTGATTCCTGCACCATCCTTAAGGGAATCATCCCAGAAATGAGGTGGGATGGCCAAAAAGCAGAGCAATCTGTCCTTCACACACAGCCACTCAGCAGCAGGCGCCCAGCCCCACGGAAAGACAAGCGCACTTACACTTCAAGAGTCTTTCACCAAAAAGGTAGTTGTTCATTGTCTCAGCAACTATCTTGGCAACATCTTCGGATTCAAATTCCACGAAGGCATAGCCTCTGCTATTTCCAGTCTGCAATTAAAAAATTCGCCACAAAAACAATTAAACTCTAAACTGCTAAAATGCTCTTAATTTGAACCACACACCAGCCCCCTTAGCAAAGTACATTATGGCACACAATGTGGAACTGCTGCGGGAAAAGGGAGGGTCCCCGACAGGCCGGACATGCCACCGACCTCGAGGTGTCCCGGGATCTGACCACACAGGTAAGCCCATAACCACAGTTGGAAGTGATTAACGGTTTGAACTTTTCAAAGTAGCCAATGTTAAGAAAAGCAAAGGAAGTAAAAAAGGGCAAGGAGACTATCTTACACAGGCTGGAGAGTGCTACCAACCAAATGCAATGCAGGAATCGTGGCTGGATCCCACAACAGGTAAGGAAAGTGGTAGCTGAAGATGGCAAGTCCATGCTGGACCAGCAGTCGCCCACCTTTCAGACCTCATGGACCACCAGCAGTCCACAACTACCGGTTGGTGACCGCTGTGCTAGACTGCTATAATATCGTGTCCGGATTCCTAGTAGATTTACGATGAAGTATTTAAAGTCTTTATGACTGCTACGTTCTTCTAAGGTTCAGTAAAACAAAGTGTGTGTTTTTATAGCTATGGAGACATACAGCTAATGCGTCAGCATGTTAATAATAGGTGAATCCAGGGCAGGGAAGAGTTGTTCTTCACATTATTGTTCTTTCCACTTCTCTATAGATTTTAACATTTTCAAAATACAATTCTGGGGGAAACAATGATATTACTGTAAAGAAAAATATTTATAAGAGAGCCTCAAAAAAGGCAGAAAAAAGTTTTTGAAAAAGACAGTAAGAAAGGCAAAAGATAAGAATAGGCAGTTCACAGAAGAAGGAATTCTAATGGCTAATAAACCCATAATGACACTCAACAAATCAACTTAGGTCAGAAAGGTCATGTTAAACAACCGAACAGAAAGGTTAAGCAGTGTCTCATAGAACTTTTATTTCAGTTATGCACACATACATGAAAATGTGTGCTGATTCCTCCTATAAAACTTATAATGTTCCCAGCAGCTTCACCCAAGAGGGAAATATTATAAAAACCTAATTTCAATGGGAAGCTAGACAAATAAACGAGGATGTTCAAGGAGAGGTACATATCAATGACAATTAATGTACTAGAGTTAAATGGATAAAGCTCAAAATAGATAGTTGAATGAAAGTGCAGAAAGATAGAAAGAACACTACCATACAATCTATACTGACACACTAGTAAAGATTTCCAAAACGCACACAGCAATGAAAAACACGGACTTCATGAACAGTGATTTCCTGGGCATGGGAGAAGGTGCAGAGGACCAGGGAAGGGGGCAAAAGGGACCTCAGGTTTACCTAAAACCTATTTCTGAAAAAACAAAGACTGAAGCAAGTTGACATTTGATAAAGGAAAATGGTGGCTATCTAAAAAGTCACTAAATCATTCTCTGGTAGACTTCAGGCCATTTGAAATAGCTCACCCACATAATAAGCAATCATTACAAATAGACAAATGGGGGAAAGAGGAGGCACACAGAGAAAATGTGTTATTTTGGTTAGGATTAGAGAAATACCAGGGCATTTTAAATTTGAAATCCCCTTTAATGTTGACACGTTGCTTTGACAAAACTTAATACCCGTGACTTTAGGAGATCTAACGGAAGATTGATGTATACCCTATGCACTCACGTACCAAAAAAATATAAAATTTAACTCTAATCTGTTATAACTCAAGTGGGAAAATGTGAAAAAACTGCATCAAGACAAATAGATTCCAACAATGAGAGGTCCCTATGGTTAAAATAAAAGTGTATGTATGCAGTAAAAAAATAAAATGACCTCTATTACTGAAACAAACAATCTTTTCAAACTAGAAGGTAGGGATGACAACAATAACATACATACACACACAGCTCTTTCTGTAAGAACCTCACATCCATGATCCTGCCTAATCTTTAATCAGATACTCCTAGGATGTTGGTGCTATTTCACTCATTTTGCAAATGAGAAAACTAAAGCATGGAGAGGTTATCTAAGTTGCCCAAAATCAGACAACTGGTAACCCGTGGAAGCCAGGCCTTGAACAAGGTAGTGCGGCCCCAGTGTCCCTATTCTTCACAGTCCCCTATACACACCTCTGCTCTGATGGGAGGCATACACAGAGGCAAACACAAGAGGCGTGAACCTGCGCCTCAAACTGAAGTCCATGTGCAGCTGACTTAGTAGCTGCAGGACTCACGATTCATTTACCAAAAACGGTGCATGTAATTAGAGCATCTAATTACTCTCTTCGACAGTCAAACAAACACCTAAAGTACCCCGGGTGTTGTTTTCCTGGTTGTTTCAGGTTCTAAACTCACCTGTGACCCTTTCTGGAGTGAAATCTGCTAAGAATAATACGTGAGCACGCCCTCTACGCTGTCATGACGACGTACTTTTGAAAAATAAAATAACCTGCTTCAGTACAGAAATCTTACCCTTTTACTTCGGGACAGCCTGAATCTTGTCACAGTGCCGAACTGGGAGAAATAGGCGCGGATCTGGGTTTCGTAAAGTGCTGGAGGCAGGTGGCCCACATAAACGACTCCGGGAGTGAGTTTTTCTTTTTCTTGCTTCTGTTTCTGAAGACAAAGAAAACCAAGGAAATACTGTTTTAATAAAAATAAAAGTCACATTGCAACAAACTTGGAAAACCCTAGCTCTCAGTCCACCCGCGGAGCAGCAGGGCTAGCGGACCAGCTGTTCAGCGCCTGCCCCACGAAGACCAGCAGCCGTCTTCTCCGCCCAGCTCCGGCGCGAGGAGGGGCTCAGTGACTCTACGAGGACTCCATGGATTCTCACACACTATTGTCAACTCCACATACACAGGGCCCTCCATTTTGTCTGCAGGTCGCCGTTCATTGGAACCGGCCCCATGGAAAGTTCCCGAACCTGTCCACATGTGTTCGCTCCACGCGTGTATCCCAGGCAGAGCCATGGCAGACGGGCCTGGATGTGGGGCCCAGGCAGAGCCATGGCAGACGGGCCTGGATGTGAGGGGCCCAGGCGGAGCCATGGCAGACGGGCCTGGATGTGAGGGGCCCAGGCAGAGCCATGGGGCAGACGGGCCTGGATGTGAGGCCCAGGCGGAGCCATGGCAGACGGGCCTGGATGTGAGGGGCCCAGGCGGAGCCATGGCAGACGGGCCTGGATGTGGGGCCCAGGCGGAGCCATGGCAGACGGGCCTGGATGTGAGGGGCCCAGGCGGAGCCATGGCAGACGGGCCTGGATGTGGGGCCCAGGCGGAGCCATGGCAGACGGGCCTGGATGTGAGGGGCCCAGGCAGAGCCATGGGGCAGACGGGCCTGGATGTGGGGCCCAGGCGGAGCCATGGCAGACGGGCCTGGATGTGGGGCCCAGGCGGAGCCATGGCAGACGGGCCTGGATGTGAGGGGCCCAGGCGGAGCCACGGCAGACGGGCCTGGATGTGGGGCCCAGGCGGAGCCATGGCAGACGGGCCTGGATGTGGGGCCCAGGCGGAGCCATGGCAGACGGGCCTGGATGTGGGGCCCAGGCGGAGCCACGGCAGACGGGCCTGGATGTGGGGCCCAGGCGGAGCCATGGCAGACGGGCCTGGATGTGAGGGGCCCAGGCGGAGCCATGGCAGACGGGCCTGGATGTGGGGCCCAGGCGGAGCCATGGCAGACGGGCCTGGATGTGGGGCCCAGGCGGAGCCATGGCAGACGGGCCTGGATGTGGGGCCCAGGCGGAGCCATGGCAGACGGGCCTGGATGTGAGGGGCCCAGGCGGAGCCACGGCAGACGGGCCTGGGTGTGAGGGGCCCAGGCAGAGCCATGGCAGACGGGCCTGGATGTGGGGCCCAGGCGGAGCCATGGCAGACGGGCCTGGGTGTGGGGCCCAGGCGGAGCCATGGCAGACGGGCCTGGATGTGAGGGGCCCAGGCGGAGCCACGGCAGACGGGCCTGGATGTGAGGGGCCCAGGCGGAGCCATGGCAGACGGGCCTGGATGTGGGGCCCAGGCAGAGCCATGGCAGACGGGCCTGGATGTGGGGCCCTCTCAGCGAAGGGAGCTGGCGGGCGCTGTCCCTGGAGCCCCGTCGCCCGCGCACCAGCCCGGGGCACACCGGGCGGCGGCGGCGCGGGGCCCTGGCGGGAGCGCCCTCCCGGCGGCGGCTCCTCCCTCCCCGCGCCACCCGCTCAGCTCCGCAGGGGCCGCCCGGCCAGGCCTTCTCCTCGCCATCAGCACCGCCGCGCCGGCTCGGGGCAGCCTCCGGGGCCGTCCTGGAGCGTCGGGAGGCAGCGGAGGCGCGGAGGGTGAGGCGAGGCCGGGGCCGGGGCCGCAGGCCGCCCCGCTCACCTTGGTCGCGCGCCGGCGGGCCTGGGCCACCTCCTGGTGGAACTTGGCGTCCTCCTGCGGGTTCAGGGACAGGAGCGGCTGCGCGGGGCCCGAGAACACCGCCATGCCGACCGCGTCCGCCGCACAGCTCCACGCGGCGGCCCCGGAAGTGCCTGAGCCCGTCGCTCCTCCCGAGCGGAAGTGGAGGCGGCGCCGCGAGGAGCGGGGCGGGGCACGCGCCGAGGCGGGCGGGCGCCCCCTGCTGGCGAGGCGCCGCTTGGCCTCGCTCTCTTCCCGGCCCTTCGCTTACATGGCAGATGGCAATTTGCTCACGCCTGCTCCGCGGGCAGCCAATTTCGCGGAGTCGGCGGGTGGAGGGCTATGGGGAGGTATATGGGGGGGGCGGGAGGGGGAGAGGCAGGTGTGAAATATTTAAAAAATTCCAAAACAAGACCCGTGACCTCGAGGTCTTGCTACCCATACTTGATTGGGGAGGACAGGATTCTGTGGGGTGTGCTGAGGGATGGCAGAAGGGACACAGGGTGGGCGCTGGGAGGGGCCGAGGGGCCTGCTCACCCCTGCCTACCTTTCCCTCCCCCGTTCTCCCTTCCTACCACTCTGCCGGGTCCCTGTGGAGTCATCCAAATGTGCCCCCATCGGGGCTGGAGCCAGCCCGCTGGGCGCACTCAGACACAGGCGGGTGGGGACGGGCCTGCAAAGGAGACTTCCTGGCAGAGAGGGAGAAAAGCATGTCAGCAGCGCCCCTCAATGAGCGTCACCTGCCAGCTGAGCACAGCTGCCCAGCCCAGCCTCTTTGTAGGTAGTGACATGGGTGAAGCGGGGTGACTACCCCAGGGGGTGGGGATAGGGAGAGTGGGTTGTGGGGGTGCCCTGGGCTGACACCAATCTCCTCCGCCTCAGGATCCTTTCTTGCCATGGAGTGTGGTCATGGTGCCTGGGGCCCGGCAGGGCCTGCAGTCCACAGCGTAATGCCCTCTTCCCAGCCTGGATTGGCAGGTGTTTTCTGTATTTTATGAGGTTTTCACACCTTCAAAAGCTGTCTGGCCGGGAGAGACTGTCCTTTCAGGGCCAGCCAATCCTTGGAGAGACAGCACAGGCCCCGCTGCCATATCTCTCATATGCCTCCTCTTCGGCCGACTCTCATACACCAACCACTGTTCCTGTGCTCTCCGTCACTCCAGGGCCAGGCACTGGGCAACCAGAGACCACTCCTGTGGCCCAAAGCTACGAAAATAATCTAATGGCTGATAACACAACGTTTTGTAAGTTGTCGTTTTTTTTTTTTTTTTTTTTTTTTTTTAAGTTTGTGTTTAATTCTTCACTTTCAAAAGCATTAATGGAAGCCTATGTTATTAATGAGAGGGCAGGCGGAATGAGAGGGCAGGGCAGGGAGAGGATGAGCTCCCGACTCTGCCCTGCAGGGCAGAGTTATCCCTAGCCCTCACCCAACCAATCAGGGTTAGCCAAGGCAGTGACATCATCACCGACCTGAGTAAAACCCCTGGACTGGGCGAAATTCGCTCTCTCTTCTGCCATGCTGCTGGCGTGAGTGGGACAGAGTCCATGCTAGCATGGAAAAGGCTCTTTTGTTTATTGCATCGGACTCCGCTCCCTCGTGGTCCTTGGGGATCACAAAGTCTGAGCGTAACAATTAAAAACAATAATTGTTTTTTAAAAAAACAATATTGAATGATAAACCACTGTTATTTTGGTCAATATCAAGTGAATTTAAGTGAAATTGCTATAAAGAGAACTTCTTCCATTCCTTCTACGTACCTTCATGAATATCTTAGACTGAATTCTCAAGAAGGCAAAGTCTAAAGAAAAGATTAGGTGTTAACATACTATTAGGGTGGGTGGGTGAATCTCAGGCCATCGAGAGTAAAGGACAAATGGAAGGAGGCAGCAAGAGACAGAATGCAAATACAACATGGTGCATTGTTACACTTGTCACAGTCTTGCAAAAACCCAGTTGGTTGCTCAGAAACATGGGCCATTTCTGCATTTACGGAAGGATTGCTTGGAGCTATTGGTCTGTTAGGAAGAGAAAGGGCAAGGGATTTATCTGTGGGCCTTAACCCTATCCTGCTCTTCACTGGTAAAGGTTTGCCCCTGGAGTGTTTACCTCACACCCTTTCAGGTTATGTACACAGCCCCCTGGGAAGTTGTTGGTGGAGCCAGAGCCTTGTGAGTTGGAACTGGGCTGCAGCTGCCATAGGAGCATAATAAAGGCAGCGCTGAAGCTTAACCCATGACCCAGGGGAGGCCAGGGCACCGGTGGGACTAATGAATGAATGAGGTTGTCAGGTGGGCTCCACACTGAGAGTTTCCTAGGTTTCCATGTTGCTTCTTATAAAGAATAATGGGGGACATTCGCAGGAGATAATTACTGTGAATTTAATTACCTATCTATGTATCATCTCTCTCTCTTTCTCATATTCATCCATAGCTACATGAATTGGGGAGAGGAGGGGGAGAAAAGAACATATAGCCCAGCCGGTTGAATATCGACCTATGAGCCAGGAGATCACAATTTGATTCCTGGTCAGGGCACATGCCTGGATTTGGGCTTGATCCCCAGTAGGGGCATGCAGGAGGCAGCCGATCAGTGATTCTCTCTCATCACTGATGTTTTTCTCTTTCCCTCTCCCTTACTCTCTGAAATCAATAAAAATATCTTTTTTTTAATTAGCCCTAATTTATCTCATTTAAAGATCAGCCCAGTAAAACTTGACTCTTCTTGTTTAATATTTATAAAAAGAATAATATATTTATGTTATTTTGATCAACCATGTATTACTGTTGAATAATCTAGAAGGAATTTTAACGTGTAGATCTTTATGATAACAGAAAATTAGCACTTTAATTTATATTAAATTTTAGGGGATTATTGATAGATAATTATAAGATTTTAAATAAGAAATACTTTTATGTTGAATTAAAATTCTTGTGGGAGAAGTGAAATAAAAATAGTTGTTAAAAAGGGGCATATACTTGGCCCGGAGCAGCGGTTGCCAGGCTGGGAGCGGCCAGGCCCAGAGCAGCCGGGTCTGGTGTGACCAGGCCCGGAGCAGCAGCTGCCAGGCTGGGAGCGGCCAGGCCCGGAGCAGCCGGGCCCAGAGCAGCTGGGTCGGGTGCGGCCAGGCCCGGAGCAGCAGCAGCCAGGTCCAGAGCAACTATAATAGGTCGGGAGTGGCGGCGGTGACCAGACCCAGAGCAGCTGGTTGTGGAACGAACCAGAGCAACAGAGGCCAGGCCCGGAGCAGCCAGGCCCAGGACAGCTCGCTTCTCGCCTGCCCCTGCCCCATGACTGCCTCTCAGACATGGCTGGAAACTTTTGTGGGAACTTGAGGGTCTGCTGAATCAAGTGATGAAGGCTTAGATCTGGATGTGTTGAGTTAGTATAGGGCTGGGGTGTTGATCTGTGAGTGCCTTGGGTGGGGCCTGGATGAGGCTGGTTGACCTATTTGGAAATGTCTTTTGTGTGAAATGTATCATTGGGCATGTGGTGGTATTATTGATATGAGAAAATGCTAAGTAACTGATTTACTATCTGAAAAGGGATTTACTATCGGGGAAAGGGAGGGAGGAAGAGACTGAACATAAACTGACCCTATAAATGAGGACAATGGGGGATGGGGAGGGGACGGAGGGTGGGGTGGGAACCTGGTGGAGGGGGGAAGAAATGAGGAACCTTTGTAACAATATGAACAATAAAGATTGATTAAAATAAATAAATAAATAAATAAATAAAATAAAAAATAAAAAGGGGCATATAAAACAGTAAGGTTCTACAAAAAATTAAGCATAGTATTACCACATGATCCAACAATTCCACTTTGGGTTATATACCCAAAAGAATTGAAAGCAGGGACTCGAGCAGATAATTTTGCATCTATGTTCATAGCAGTATTATTCACATTAGCCAAAAGGTGGACGAAATGTCTATTGACATATGAATAGATAAATAAAATGTATTATAGAATATACATAAACTGGAATATTCAGTGTAGAGGGCCAAATGGGAAGACACCTGGATATTCTTTAGATTGTTGCTGACTGGGCCCAGGATATTGGTGGTCATGTCAGTTGCACTGGGTGGGAGTGCAGAGATGTTCTTAGTTCCTGGCTTGTGTTTGTCCAGGAGGAAGGAGTGGGTGGGACCTGGGCCCTCCCAGGCTTCTTGTTTTCCTGTGAAACCCCTTTGGTGGATTGGAGTATAAATAGATGTGCTGCATGGCTCAGGAGGTCCTGGTCTGCCTCTCCAGCAGAGGAGGTCGGTGGCCCTCCCAGCTCCCAGCTTGAAATTTATCTCTGTGTCTTCTCTCTTTATTTCTATTATTTCTCAATCCCTGGCCACCTCCACTTTGAACTGATTCGTTCATCTCTCTTCCCATTCGGGACACGGAAAAGGGAGATCCCAGCCACATCAGGCCCCTGCAATTCAGTGTTAAAATGAAATGAAATTCTGACACCAAGTACAACATGCATGAATCTTGAGGTCATTATGCTAAGTGAGGTAAGCCAGTCACAGAAAGACAAATACTGTATGAATTCCACTTCTATGAGGCACCTGACTAGTCGTATTCAGAGAAAGTAGTCTTTACACACATTATTGCTAATCCTCATAACTTTTAGAGATAAGTAGACTAATTCTAACTTGACAAATGAGAAAAGACTCCCTTATGTTATGCTTGAAAATCACCTTAGATTTTTCAGAAATAAAGTGATTTGGCAAACTGTTTCAGCTAGAATTGATAACCAAAACAGCGAACTGAGGTTTTTGTCCGGGGTTGTGTCTCAGGAAGCTGAAAAATAAAATAACAGACCAGCAGATTTAAGCAAAAGCATGGAAGATTTGTTATAAGTAGGTTCAACTCCCTCATGGGGAGGGCCCTCAATAATGGGTTTCCAGTGAAGCTAATCAGTCTAGAGGTATATATGTGCCTGCTCCATATCTGTTAACACCTGATTCCCTCAATTGTTCTTGCTCAGCTACAAGGCCTGAACTATTCTGTCCCTATGTGTCAGTTCACCTTATTGTTGCAGACACTTCCTATTTTCACATACCTCCTGCTCTGAGCCTAAAACATTTTTTTAAAAAAAATTCCTGCATGGTTGGTTTCTGTGATAAGGCCTGCTCAAAATGCCATGTCTGGCCCTGACTACATTTCACCTCCCCCCCCTTTTTTTTTTTCCATTGGACCCTTGCCTGTCTGCCTGCATGTCAAGCTAAATCCTCTCAGAATTTTATTTTAATTTTTATCAATCTTTTTAAAAAATAAATCTTTATTGTTCAGATTATTACAATTGTTTCTCTCCCCTCCCCCCATAGCTCCCCTCCACCTGGTCCCCACTCCACCCTCTGCCCTTACCTCCCCCGCCCCCCAAAGGTATATGATTTTTTTCCAGTCTCTTCCTGTACCCCCTTCCCATACACACACAGACTCCCCTTTTTCCCTGATTCTATTATATTCACCAGTTTATTCTGTTCCTCAGATTTTTAATTCACTTGTCTTTTAGGTTCACTTGTTGATAGATATGTATTTGTTGTTCATAATTTTTATCTTTACTTTTTTCTTCTTTTTCCTCTTTTTAAAGAACGCCTTTTAGTATTTCATATAATACTGGTGGTGATGTACTCCTTTAACTTTTTCTGATCTGTGAAGCTTTTTATCTGCCTTTTAATTCTGAATAACTTTGCTGGATAGAATAATCTTGGTTGTAGGTTCTTGCTATTCATCACTTTGAATATTTTTTGCTACTCCCATCTGGCCTGAATAGTTTCTGTTGAGAACTCAGATTGTCATATGGGTGCTCCCTTGTAGGTAACTGTTTTTCTCTTGCTGCTTGTAAGATTCTTTGTATTTTGCTCTTGGCATTTTAATTATGATGTGTCTTGGTGTGGTCCTCTTTGGATTCCTCTTGTTTGGGGTTCTGTGTGCTTTCTGGATTTGTAAGTCTATTTCTTTCACCAGGTGGGGGAAGTTTTCTGTTATTATTTTTTCAAATAGGTTTTCAGTGTCTTGCTCTCTCTCTTTTTCTGGCACCCCCATAATTTGGATGCTGGTACACTTGAAGTTGTCCCAGAGGCTTCTTACACTATCTTCAACTTTTTGGATTCTCTTCTCTTCTTGCTTCTCCGGAGGAGTGTCCTTTGCCTTTTTGTATTCCAAATCTTTGACTTGATTATTGCATTCCTCTACGCTGCTGTTGGGTCTCGGTATCATATTTTTTACTTCAGTCAGTGTATGTTTAATTTCTAGTTGGTTTAATTTCTTTTTCATATCCTTATCAGCCTTTTCTAGGAAATTCTTGAAAAACCTTATAACCATGGTTTTGAACTCTAGATCCAGTCTTTTGTTCTCCTCCATTTCTTTTGTTTGAGATCTCTTTCCTTTTCTCGGCATTTTCATTGTTTCCCTGAGTTGGTAGGGTAGCTTTGTGGGCCTGGGTGTCCTATATGGTTCAATGGGTCAGCCTCCCAGTTGCCTGATGTGGATACTTTTGGTGCACCCCTTTGTGGACTGTGTGTGCACCCTTGTTGTAGTTAAGTCTTGATTGTTGTTGTTGTCATTGGGAGGAATTGACCTCCAGGCCAGTTGGCTGTGAGGACCCACTGTGTCTATAACAGAAGAATTGCTGTGCTGGAGACTCGTTTATGGGGGAGGACTTGTTCCCGTAGGGCTTTGGTGCTCACTGAGTCTGTCTCTTGAATGTGTCCGTTATGAGAGTAGTTGAAATCTGGTGTCGTCTCACACCAACCACTAGATACACTGGTTTCTGGATCTCCAATGGGGTGCAGTTCAGCTACCCAGCAGGAGCTACCGCAAGAACTACAGTTTTCTCCTCTTTGCTTGGGATTTGGCGGTTTTTCCTCTCAGAATTTTAAAAGTCACAATCTTTTCTTTTAAAAAAATATTTTTATTGATTTCAGAGAGGAAGAGAAGGGGAGAGAGCTAGAAATATCAATGATGAGAGAGAATAATTGATTGGCTGCCCCCTGCACACCCCCTACTGGGGATTGAGTCCACAATCTGGGCATATTGCCCAGCTGGGAATCAAACCGTGACCTCCTGGTTCATAGGTTGATGCTCAACCACTGAGTTATGCTGATCAGGCCAAAAGTCACAATCTTTGAGTGACATGGAGAAAAATGTTGCAGGATTTAAAAAATGAATTTGGATTTGTATAGTCAGTTAATACACAAAAGATGGTTCTAAGAATATGTTTGACTTGTAGTAAATCAATAAAATTCAGCTCCTATTGCTACTTTCATCCTTTTGTTGTGAATTTTGAGAATTTTCTGCCTATATTTTTGGTCTACAAAAGGCACAGGATATCAGAAGTACACAGGCAAAAAAAAAAAAATAAAAAAAAATAAAAATCTTGTGTTTGATTGAGCAAGTTGCTAAAATTTTCAGAACTGTTACATCATAGGGCTATGAGAGGTCAAGTTAGATAAGGTATTTAAGGCCTCTTGCAAATATTGTTAAATGATAGGTAGATGATAATAGCATAATGATTAAGATGAACTATTTGGCTCCCAGTTTCAGCATATGCTAGCTTCCTGTGATCCTTGGAAAGTCAATTAATTTGTTACCAATGGTTATTTAACTTATAACAACAGTATCAACTTCATCAAAGCATTAGAAGATAAAATATGATTCTTCATGTAAAGTTTTAGAATAAGTCTGGCATGAAGCTATAGTTCAGTTGATATAAGTAATTGTGAGGGTGAGAACAAGAAAATAAAAAGGCCTTTTCCTTTGCTGTAGCCTTCTCAATTTGTGAGAAGCACCTAGTAATTAAACTCCAAGGTTGTTAGCTCCTCTGGTTCAAACTGCAAGACATGATGTTACTCTCAAGGGTGCATTCTGGCATATATATCCTTCCTCCCTGCTCTTTTCTACAACTCAAGGATCATTAGTAGAAAGTTCCCTCTCCTACTCCCCTTCAAACAAGCTTCTTTTGAACTCTTCATAACAGGAGGCCAGAGTGGTGAGGGATCATCTGCACACCAGGTGGCTGAGCCTGGGATGGCTCCAGCACCCAGTGAGGGGCTTCAGTGGCTTTTAAAGGACTTCTGGCCGGGACCGGTTTGGCTCAATGGATAGAGTGTCGGCTTGGGGACTGAGGGATCCCGGGTTCGATTCCGGTCGGGGGCATGTACCTTGGTTGCGGGCATATCCCCGGTAGGGGGTGTGCAGGAGGCGGCTGATCGATGACTCTCTCTCATCGATGTTTCTAGCTCTCTATCTCTCTCCCTTCCTCTCTGTACAAAATCAATAAAATATTCAAAAAAAAAAAAAAAGAGGCAAATAAAGGACTTCTGGCGGGCTTTTTCTGGGAGGAGACTTTTTTTTAAAAAAATATATTTTTTACGGAGAGGAAGGGAGAGGGATAGAGAGAGAGTTAGAAACATCGATGAGAGAGAAACATCAATCAGCTGCCTCCTGCACACCCCCTACTCGGGATGTGCCCAAAACCAAGGTACATGCCCTTGACCGGAATTGAACAGGGGACCCTTCTGTCCACAGGTGGATGCTCTATCCACTGAGCAAATTGGTTAGGGCAGGGCGGAGACTTCTTTATGCATACCTGGAGGGGAGAGACTGGAATGTGGTCACCACAAGTGAAATGTGGTCAAAGGGAATGTCCATAGTGAAATGACCTGAAAAGTTTCCAGGGGAGAGGTATTAATTAAATTGCTCAACCAAACCTAACAATAACTTTTGCTTTAATAATGTTTCACGGGCTTTGGGAAAATAAGACATCTGCCAGGATTGTCTCCTAAGGAACTAACAAACTACCCTCCCAATGTCTGCTCAACTTCAGCCCCAAATCGGAAAAGTTTGTTTATTGTTTTTAGTCCAGAAGGTGTCCTAGGGAGGTGTCTTTATCAGCATCTGCATCTTCACAAGCCTGTAAAACATTCCTTTTTTTTTTTTTTAAACCACAGGTTCCTTATATATATATATATATAACTGATTTCAGAGAGGAAGTGAGAAATAGAAACATCAATGATAAGAGAGAATCCTTAATAAGTTGCCTCCTGCACACCCACATTGGGGATCAAGCCCAGAACCCAGGCGTGTGCCCTGACTGGGAATGGAACTGTGACCTCCTGGTTCATAGGTCGAGCCAGGCCAGCCGGGCAAGCCTATAAAATATTCTCTAATAGTCCCTTTTCTTTTTCCAGGGAAGATTGTGTTTCCCTGGGCACCCAGCGCAGGGCAAACAGACAGGCATGGAGCAGAGCCGCGCTATGCAGCCAGAGAGGACCTGGCCAAGGCTGCTTCGCAGCTGAGCCTTATGGTGCTACAGTCTTTGTGGGCCGTTTGGCACTGAATGAAGTTTCCTTCTTCACCACACTCCAAACTGGGCATTCTTGTGAGTGTTGAATTGGTTTAAACCCACATAAAGTCATGTAATTTAAAAAATAGGTAATAACATTGAATGCGTTAAAAGAGCACAGGGATAAGATTTTGCACACTTGGTCCCACATACTTCTATGTTCCCTTGCATTTTCTGGAAATACTAACGCATTGTTTTCTTCTCCTTAGAGAACGACTGCAACCTGGTCTATACGTACCTCTCAGTACTGAGCCAACCCCCAACGCTGTGGTATAAAATACTTTGTGTAAGTTAACGGGAGCGCCGCGCCACCTCCAGGCCACACCCCCACTTCCGCCAGTCCCACCGCCTCGAGGCGCCCTTCCCGGGCTGTTTCCGGCGACGCCTGTGGTAAGAGCCCGCTCTCGGAGCCCGCCTGGCTCCGGGGGAGGCGGGCGGCGCCGCAGGCATCGCGGCGGACAGCCCTGCGCTCTGCGCGCCGAGGACCCGGGAGGACCCCAGCGACGGAGGCAGCACAAGGCCCGGCGACGCGGCGGCTTTGGTGGAAGCGGCCCCTGGACTGATAGCGCGCTGGTCTGTGGAGCCCTCTCAGCCCGCCGCCCTCGCCCTCGCCCTCGCCCTCGCCGCTGGCTGATCCCGGTGCAGCCGGCGCCATGTCTGTGAGCGAGATCTTCGTGGAGCTGCAGGGCTTTCTGGCTGCCGAGCAGGACATCCGGGAGGTGAGCCTGTTGCCCCGACCCCTTTCTCCGCTCCGGTGGGCCCATCGCCCGTCCTTCCCGTCGCTTAGCCTCCCAGGGCCGGTGCTTCCCTCTGGGTTGTGCTTGGGGCGAGTCCCTCGTCCCGCCCCGGGTTCCGGTCTCCCCTCGGCTTCTCCTGCCTCATCTGAGCGCCAGTTCCCCCCTTCCCGCACCCGCGGACCTCAAAGCCTCAGCCAGCTCCTGGGACTCAGACGGCTGCGGTTTATGTGTTGTCGGTGTCTTTTAAGGCGCCTCTGGGCCTCTCTGTAAAGCTCCTATGGCTTCTCATTACACGTAGGGTAAAAACCCAAGAGTGTGTGTGTGTGTGTGTGTGTGTGTGTGTTGGATGTCATTTTACCCCACCTTCTGTTCTATTATGATCGCTTTACTTCCCTTTAATTTCTCTAGTTCCCCCGTAGTTCCTGCCTCAGAAGTTTTGCATGCCTTCTGCTCTTCCTGAAATATGCTTCTTTCCACCGCCCCTCTTCTCCCCCATTCATCTCCTGGATTTCACAGGCCAAACGATCTTTTGCCTGTTATGGTTTCTAGTAACGCATTAACATCTTAAGGAATTTGTGCAATTTCTGTCTTTTGAATGTCAGTTGAGCTGCCAGAAAGGATGGGACTGTGCTTGGTTCCCCAGCATTTACACAATGCCAGCACATAAATGTGCTCAGTGAATATTTGTAAAACGAATGAATGAAAAATACGCACCCCCTGTATTGCATCTTATTCTTGTCTTGTCAAACTGCATTCAGATGCCTCCACTATCTTTCAGTGTTCCTGCAGGATAGTGGAGATGGGGGAGGTGGCTATTATCCTTTGAAGGTTAAATGAGAAACCTAAGGCTTTTTGATGACTTCCTGAAGGTCTCAGAGAGGAAGTAAGTGGAAGAGTCAAGATTCAAACCTGGCTATTTTCTGTTCCAGTTCAGTCCTTGTAAAGATAGTTAGTGTTTCCAATGTATGTGAAGGTGTCATAAATCAAACATGCTACTTAGCATATTTGATTTGAGGCTATGATAATAATGATGTTGAATTTACGTAATATTTTGGTTTTTAATTCTTCTAGGAAATCCGAAAAGTAGTGCAGAGTTTAGAACAAACAGCTCGGGAGATTTTAACTCTACTGCAAGGGGTCCATCAGGGTTCTGGGTTTCAGGACAGTAAGTATTTTGTTTTGACTTTTGAGGTTTTAATCCAGTTCATCGATCTCATTTAAAGGGTTTTACCTTCCAAACAACATTTCAGCTCTGTGTCATTTCATTATGAGATGTTCCTCATACTTTATGTTTGATTAAAAATTGGAGTAGGTGAGTTTATCATTCTTACAGGTTTACAGAATTCTGTGTTTTGATTGATTTTCCACTTTCATGTAATATGGAATGTTTTCTATTTGATGAAGTTCTGCTGCTGATGATAGTAGTATATCATAGTTCACGTGTGTATTCAGCAACTTTTATTTAGTGCTTCAAAAACACCAAACCTTTCATATATTGAATATGGTTTAATATGCATTTGTAGATATGAAATAGCCAGTGTAAAATGTTCTTTAAAATATATATATATATATATATATATATATATATATATATATATTACTTTATTGATTTCAGAGAGGAAGGGAGAAGGAGAGAGAATCATTGACCGACTGCCTCCTGCACACCCCCCACTGGGGATCAAGGCTGGAATTGAACCTGGGACCCCTCAGTCTATAAGCTGACACTAACCACTGAGCCAAGTCCACCAGAGCTGTAAAATGTCCTGAATGTGTGTGTAGTTAGTCCCTTGAATGGATGAAAATCAACTATTGTAAATTTAGACATGGAGCCTTCATTGTAAGCACAATTGAAAAAGCTGAAATACATTTTCAGATGGAGAATGATATAATAAAGTATTTTATAGGTGTCAGAGGCAAGTCATTTTTCTCCATGATATGTAGTTGGTCAGCTTGATTGAGAATAATTGGTAAAACTTTTATTTGACCAAATAAGAGAGCTAGAAAGCAGATCAATTTTAAGCCTTTTTTGAGGACCGCCTAGGAATGCATCTGGTGTGCAGCCCCTTAGAGATGAAGTCACTTCCGATCGCTTACGATGTGCTTCCTAACATTCCCTTTCAGCAAGTTTTTGTTTATTTTTCAGTATTGGTTCATCTGTAGGGAAACTAGAGGTGAAAATTTGAAAGCCAGGTTGAAAAGCAGAGATACATACCCTATATTTTGTCATGTGCTTTTTTAAAAACTTGATTTATTTCCAGGTAGACTGCATAGATTAAGTGATAGTAAGTACTAAGCAATATTAAGTATTTGAAATTTGGTCTTTCATTATGATGTTTGATTATCATTTGTTTTTTGTTTTGTTTTTGGTGTGATCAGTTCCAAAGAGGTGTTTGAAAGCTCGAGAACATTTTGGTACTGTGAAAACACATCTAATGTCTTTGAAGACCAAGTTCCCTGCTGAACAGTATTACAGGTTTGTAAGAAAGTAGCATTATTTTATAACGTTAAGTTAAAAAAAGGCAGAAAAGTGATATGTGCTGAATAATTGCTTAGCACTAGGTAAAAAATCCCTCTATTTAGAAGAAGTAACAAAAAGAAAATAATCAAACTATTAATGGCAGTATTTGAACGGTGACAAAATTGGTGATATTTTCTTCCCTTTCATTTTCAAGATTTTCTTAAAAGATCATGTATAATTTTTGCAATGAAAAAACAAAATATTCGTTGTATGAGGTCAAAATAAAGAATATCTTTTTAGTATATTCAAGTTGCTTGTGAAGTTAGATGAACCATATCTGCTATTTAGTTTATGGAGTTGAGCTTTACCTTAAAGCTTGACTTTCACTGCCAAGTAAAATATTTACCCAATATTTTATGTTGTATATTGCTGGATTTATACCACCAGTTATTTTAAAGTATATATTTTTTTATGAAAGAAAAATTGTTGCCAATCATAACTGTGAAACATATAGATTATAAAATACATCCCGATTTCACAGATATTAAACGGATGTAGATGAAATATGGTAAGTAAGAACCTAAAATACCTACTTATGTTTATTCTCTTACTGAAAAAGATATTCACTTAAGATGTGTTTATGGGCAATAAATAGGACATGTATGTGGGGAGTGGATAGCACAACCTCACAAGATTTTTTTTTTTTTTAATATATTTTATTGATTTTTTACAGAGAGGAGGAGAGAGGGATAGAGAGCTAGAAACGTCGATGAGAGAGAAACATTGACCAGCTGCCTCTTGCACACCCCCTACCAGGGATGTGCCCGCAATCAATGTACATGCCCTTGACCGGAATCGAACCTGGGACCTTTCAGTCTGCAGACCGATGCTCTACCACTGAGCCAAACCGGTTTCGGCTCACAAGATTTTTTAAGGCAGGAATTGGCAAACCACTTGTGGCCTGCTGCCTCTAAAAGCTAAGAATTGCTTCCTTATTTTAAAGCTGTTAAAAGAAAAACAGCCAAATAAGAAAGCCTAAATATTTATCTGGCCCTTCACAGAGAGTTTGACGAACCTTGCAAAGATAGTAACGGAAGCTTATCAAAGTAGGAGGATAGAATTGTCAGGGTCTTTCGAGACCATGTAATTTGGAGTCATACACAAGCTGCCCTGTGGCTGATTTGGCCCTCAGAAGGTTCTGTTTGGTCTGCATTGTTGAAATTTTTTTTTGAATTGTTGCCATGGTAGGCATAGAATAAATATCCAGAAGTTGTCCTATTTCTTTTCCAGGTTTCTGGCTCAGTTTAACCCAGTATCCCTGAGGTTTTAAGTCTATGTAGTGATGGCAAATGATAGTTATTACTTATATGTGTGAATCAGGATTTTCTTGATATTCTACACTCAAAATGTAGGAATGAGTTAGGTGTTGAAGCTGATGTACAATTGTGTTTCTCCTCAGTCTTCAGTTGCCAATATTTATTTCTCTCAGAGCACTATCATTGTTCTTATTTATTAAGAACACCAGAGATGCACGAAGATTTGGGCAAGAATGGGCCTACTTCCCGTCTGCCGGCACCGCCTTTGCTCTGGCTGGAGCTGCCTTTCCACTTCCCATACTGCCCAGAGGCCTGGAGCAGCTGGGGTGGTGCAGAACGCCTGCATCCTGCCCTGCCCATGGCTGCTCTACGCCTGTGCATGCAAACTAACTCACCATCTTTGTTGGGTTAATTTGCATATTCAATCTTGATTGGCTGGTGGGCGTCGTGAAGGTACAGTCAGTTAGCAAGTTACTCTTTTATTAGTGTAGATAATCTTCCATAATCTTCAGCTGTAAATTTTTGTATTCATAAAATTGAATCATGCTTATTTATTTATTTATTAAAATATATTTTATTGACTTTTTTACAGAGAGGCAGTGAAAGGGATAGAGAGTTAGAAACATCAATGAGAGAGAAACATTGATCAGCTGCCCCCTACATACCAGCCTACTGGGGATGTGCCTGCAGCCAAAGTACATGCCCCTGACCGGAATTGAACCTGGGACCATTCAGCTCACAGGCCGACGCTCTATCCACTGAACCAAACCGGTTTGGGCCATGCTTATTTATTAAACTTTTAATGTATAATATTATAAATTTGAACTTGCAAAATTTACACTAAATCTATCTAATATATTTAAATGTCATATTGCTCTTACATGCTTCATATGTTGGGGTTTCATGTAAAATTTTATTTGAAAAAGAATTCCAATTCTAAAATGTTTGAACTTGCCCTAACCGGTTTGGCTCAGTGGATGGAGCAGCGGGTCCCAGGTTCCATTCCAGTCAAGGGCATGTACCTTGGTTGAGGGCACATCCCCAGTAGGGGGTGTGCAGGAGGCAGCTGATTGATGTTTCTCGCTCATCGGTGTTTCTGACTCCCTCTCCCTCTCCCTCTCTATAAGAAAATCAGTAACCTACATTTTAAAAACATGTTTGAACTTGACTGTGTGAAGCCTGTCTTTTTTAAGGCCCCTGGCCGCTGACCCTCGGTGCTTGTCTTTCTGTAGATTTCACGAGCACTGGCGGTTTGTGCTGCAGCGGCTGGTCTTCTTGGCAGCCTTCGTTGTGTACTTGGAGTCAGAAACACTAGTGACTCGAGAAGCAGTGACAGAGATTCTTGGCAGTAAGTGTCTTCATTAGTATTCACCTACAGAACCAGTACTGATGGATAGGTTAATTTTTGTTGGTTTATATTTTCTATTATAACAAATGAAAACAAGATAGAAAACCAGTTACTTGGAAACATAAAACCTAAAAATATGTAGTGGCTGCTCTTTGTACTTGGGTGTTGTATTTGTAAAATTCAGTTTTTTAAAATGTCCAGGCTGCAGAAAAGTTAGAAGAATAATACAGTGAATGCATGTTTTCAGCTCACTTAGGCTCACTGCTTTTAACGTTTTGCCACATCTGCGTAGTCTCCTCACTTGGTGTGTCTGTGTGTGCATGTGTGCATTTGTGTGCTCTTGTCAAGCATTTGAAGTCAGTTGCAGATATTGTGGTTTCTTCCTGCCTCTTCTGAAAACAAATATTCTCTGACGTTTTTTGTGCTATTACTTTTTAAGAGAAAAGTCGACAGGAAAATTGAATTTTGCTTGAGAGATAGAAAAATTCTCAATGAGGTCTAGTTGCCAAGGTTAATATCATATGTCAACTATAATTGAAAAATAAGAATGACTAGGAAACAAAAGATTGTACTAAATGATTCATCCTTTTTCACACATTTAAAAAAAATGCTAAGGCTTAAATTATATTCATATTATGACCTCATTTTTATTTTGACTTTTTTTTTTTTTAGTTGAGCCAGATCGGGAGAAAGGATTTCATCTGGATGTAGAAGATTATCTCTCAGGAGTTCTAATTCTTGCTAGTGAACTGGTAATATACTTAGTAATTTGCCATTTTCATTCTTTTTCTTTTTTTACTGTTAATTGGTTAATACTAACATAAATTTCAGGTGTACGATATTATAGCTTGATATCTATATACTCGATCGTATGCTCACCACCAAAGTCTGGTTTCCATCTGTCACCATGTATTTGACCCCTGTTACTCCCCCTTCCCAATTTCCCCTCCGTTAAACACCAGTCTGTTGTGTGTATCTGTGAGTTTGTTTTGCCTTTTTTTTTTTTTTTTTTTTACGTTTTCACGTATAAGGAAGAGCATTTATTTTTCTCCATCTTATTTCTCTTGCCATAATATCCTCAAGGTCCACCCATGTTGACATAAATGGCAAGATTTCATTCTTTTTTTTTTTTTTTTAAATATATTTTATTGATTTTGTACAGAGAGGAAGGGAGAGAGAGATAGGGAGTAAGGAACATTGATGAGAGAGAGTCATCTATCAGCTGCCTCTTCTACACCCCCTACTGGGGATATGCCCGCAACCAAGGTACATGCCCTTGACCGGAATCGAACCTGGGACCTTTCAGTCCCCAAGCCGACGCTCTATCCATTGAGCCAAACCGGTTTCGGCAAGATTTCATTCTTTCTAATGGCTGCATGGTATTCCATTGTATATATACCACTTCTTTATTTATTCATCCATCTGTGGACACTTAATTTTTTTATATATCTTGGCTGTTAAAAATAAAGTTTCAAATTAATGTTTTATATTCTTTGGATAAATACCCAGAAGTAGAATAGGTGGACCATAATAGTTCTCTTCTTAGTCTTTTGAGGAATCTCCATACTGTTTTTCATGGTGGCTGTACCAATTTACTTTCCCATTAATAGTGTATGAGGTTTCCCTTTCCTTCACATCCTCCCCAGCATTTGTTATCTCCTATTTCTTTTTTTTCTTTTTTTAAAATATATTTTATTGATTTTTCACAGGGAGGAAAAGAGAGGGATAGAGAGTCAGAAACATCGATGAGAGAGAACCATCGATCAGCTGCCTCCTGCACACCCCCCACTGGGGATGCGCCTGCAACCAAGGCACATGCCCTTGACTGGAATCGAACCTGGGACCTTTCAGTCCGCAGGCCGACGCTCTATCCACTGAGCCATACCGGTCCCGGCTATCTCCTATTTCTTGGATAATAGCCATTCTAACAGGTGTGAAGAGGTGTGAAGTGATAAAATCATTGTGATTTTGATTTGCATTTTCCTGGTGATTAGTGATAATGAGCATTTTTTCATGTGTCTGTTAGCCATCTGTATGTCTTTCTTGGAAACATGGCTATTCAGGTCCTCTGCCCATTTTTGTGTGTCTTTGTTATTCTTCACCTGAGGATATTTTTTCCTTTGCTTTTCAGAGAGAGTAGGAGGGAGGTAAGGAGACAGGAGGGAGAGAGGGAGGAAGGGAGGGAGGAAGAAAAGTAGAGAGGGGAGGAGAAAGGGGAGACATCGATGTGAGAAACACACACCGACTGGTTGCTTCTGCAGGCACCCCAACCAGGGATGAAGAGTGAACTCGCAACTGAGGTGCGTGCCCATTGACTGGAAACTGAACATGAGACCCTCTGGTGCATAGGCTGCCACTTTAACCACTTAGCTACACTGGCCAGGGCCTGCCCAATCTTAATTAGGTTGTTTTTGTTGTTGAGTTGTATGAGTTCTTTATATGTTTTTTATATTAGTATCTTATTGTGAGTACCATTTGCAAATATCTTGTCCCATTTGGTTGGTTGCCTTGGCTGTTGATGGCTTCCCTTGCTGTGCAAAAGCTTGGTTTGATGGCTGTCTCATTTGTTTATTTTTGTTTATCTTGCCTTGCAGTCAAATTCACAAAAGCACTACTCAGACTGATGACCAGAAGCTTAGTGCCTATATTATTGTCTGTGTGTTTTATTGTTTCAGAGATAATACTCAGGTCTTTAGTCCATTTTGAGTTATTTTTTATGTACGGTGTACAATAGCAGTTTAGTTTCATTCTCTTGCATAGGGTGTCCAGTTTTCCCAACTTTTTTTAAAGAAACTTCCTCCAGAGTATATTCTTGTCTCCTTTGTTGTAAGTTACTTGTCCATATATGTCTGGGATTGTTTCTGGGCTCAGTTCTGTTCCATTGGTCTCTGTGTGTTTTCTGCCATTACCATATTGTTAATTATTGTAGCTTTGTAGAATAGTTTGAAATCAGGCAGTGTGATACCTCTGGCTGTGACCTTTTTTCCTCAGGATTTCTATTTGGGATCTTTTGTGGTTTCAAAATTTGAGGATTTGTTTTGTTATGCCATTAGGATTTTGAATAGTGGAGTGCTCTAGATAATACGGACATTGTAACAATATTAATTCTTCTAGTCTATGGACACAATGTTTTTTTCATTTTTTTTTGTCTTTAATTTCTTTCAAGAAAGAATGTCTTATCCCTTCCAGTGTACAGTGTTTCCTTTCCTTTGCTTATTTCTGGGTATTTTATTTTTTCTATTGCAGTTGTAAATGGGATTGTTTTTCTTTATTAATCTTTCTGATAGTTCATTGTTAGCATATAGAACTACAACAGATTTCTGTATGTTGATTTTGTGTTCTGAAAGTTTATTTCTAATAGTTTTTTTGTGGGATCTTTAGGGATTTCTATATATAAAGTCATGCCATCTGCAAATAGTGGTATAATAGTTTTACTCTTTTCATTCCAATTTGGATGCCTTTTATTTCTTGCCTAATTTCTCTGACTAGGACTTCTAGTAATGTTGAGTAAAACTGGCAAGAGTGGGTGTCCTTGTCTTGTTTCTGTTCTATTTTAGAGGAAAAGCTTTGGTTTTCACTGTTGAGTATGAAGTTAGCTAGCTGTGGGTTTGTCTTATATGGCCTTTGTTATGTTGAGGCACTTTTCCTTCTATACCCATTTTATTGAGAGGTTTCTTTAAAAATCATAAATGGCTTCCTGGCTGGTGTGGCTCAGGGGTTGAGCACACCTATGAACCAGGCGATCACAGTTCCATTCCCTGTCAGGGCATATGCCCAGGTTGCAGGTTTGATCCCCAGTAGGGGGATGTTCAGGAAGCAGCTGATTTATTATTTTCTCTCATAATTGATGTTTCTCTCTCTCCCTTCCTCTCTGAAATAAAAAAATACATATATATTTAAAAAACCATAAATGGATGTTGTATCCTGTCACATTCTTTTTCTGCAGCTGGCGAGATGATCATACGATTTTTACTTTCATTTTGTTAATGTATATACTACATTGATTGATTTGCAAATGTAGACCCATCCCTGTATCTCTACAGTGAAATGCATTTGATTGTGGTGTATGATTCTTTAAATGTATTATTGTATTTTTTTTTTTTAAATATATTTTATTGATTTTGTACAGAGAGGAAGGGAGAGAGATAGAGAGTTAGAAACATCGATGAGAGAGATCAGCCGCCTCTTGCACACCCCCTACTGGGGATATGCCCGCAACCAAGGCACATTCCCTTGACCGGATTCGAACCCGGGACCCTTCAGTCCCCAAGCCAACGCTCCATCCATTGAGCCAAACCGGTCCCGGCGTATTATTGTATTTGATTTGCTAGTATTTTGTTGAGGACTTTTGCATCTCTTTATTAGAAATATTGGCCTGTAATCCGTGTGTGTGTGTGTGTGTGTGTGTGTGTGTGTGTTCCTGCCTGGTTTTGCTTTCCAAATAATGATGTCTGAGTTAGGAAACATTCATTCTTTCCTCTTCAATATTTTGGAAGAGTTGGAGATGGAAAGGTATTACATTCTTTGAATGTTGGTAGAATTCAGCTGTGAAGTTGTCTGGTCCGGGAGCCGTTTGTTTTTTTCACCTTGCCACTTCACTGTCATTTTTTAAATGGGCACCAAGTTCCCGGGAGTCTGATTCATTCAGAAGCCATCTGTTGTCACCCGATAGTTGGTATGAGTTTTGTTAGTCATCAGGGAAATGCCAGTTCTGACGAGGTGCATATTTGCTAATATGTGAATTTTTTTTTTTTTAATATATTTTATTGATTTTTTACAGAGAGGAAGGGAGAGAGAGAGAGAGAGAGAGAGAGAGAGAGAGAGAGCGCGAGCGAGCGCGCGCGCGCGCTAGAAACGTCAATGAGAGAGAAACATCAAGCAGCTGGGGATGTGCCCGCAACCAATGTACATGCCCTTGCCCAGAATCGAACCTGGGACTTTTCAGTCCGCAGACCGACACTCTACCACTGAGCCAAACCTGCTTCGGCTAATGTGTGAATTTTTAAAAGATGACTATACCTCTTTGTTTCAAAGTTCCTGGTAACGGTGTTAGCTCATAAAATTGTTTTGGAGAACAACCTAAAGGTAATATGTGAAAGTGTTGTGGCCTGCGGGTCTTGCAGTTGTGATTTGGAGGGCATGCTAAGGTGGAGCCACGCTGAAACACATCCCCATCTCTCTTTCCTTGTACAGTCGAGGCTCTCTGTCAACAGTGTGACTGCTGGAGACTACTCCCGGCCCCTGCACATCTCCACCTTCATCAACGAGCTGGATTCCGGGTTCCGCCTCCTCAACCTGAAAAACGACTCCCTGAGGAAGCGCTACGACGGCCTGAAGTACGATGTGAAGAAAGTGGAGGAGGTGGTCTATGACCTCTCCATCCGAGGCTTCAACAAGGAGACGGCAGCAGCCTGTGGGGAGAAGTAGGAGACTCTGCAGGCCTGGCCTTGCTGACCTCGGTGGCTGCCAGTGAGCCTGAGCGCAGGGCCGCTCACGGTAGTTACGGTGCCCTGTTGCTAAGCACCGCGCTTTATTTTCTTAGCCAGTGTGTGGTGTGTGTATCAGAATTGGAACACTTGTTTGGGGTTAAAGATCAGCCTTTACAAGACAGGTTTTTTGTTGTTGTTGTTTTAGTGAATTTGCTCTGTAATTTAGTTCTGTCAAAAGCGCAAATGTCAGTCTCTTGGTAAAGTTTACTTCCTGCTTACCCTGATGCTGTTGATGTCCTGATTGAGAAGTTTATTGTCTTGTGATCCTTGTTATTTTCTATATCCAAAGTAGCCCCATACACAGATTTGTAAACAGGTTATTAAAAAGATGGTTGCCAACCAAAGGCCACTTACTTTACATTTTCCTCTCTCATAAGCCAGGTGAGTAATTCACGTGTTGAGATTCTTTACAAGGGAGTTAATAGCTCCAGTGTTCCCTCACTGCCTTCAACACTTAGAATTAAACTGCAAACAGATACTTTTGGGAAGTTTTTGTATTAAAGAATTGAGTACATGCTATCGTTTGGCTGTTTATCAGATGTGGGGGTAGCGCTTAGTGTTTAAACACCTTGGTTTCCTGATGTTGCCTTCACATTGTGCTGTTACAAGCAATTAAAAATCGTTTTCACACACATCTTTAACACTTCATATGATATATATTTCTAAGATATGAAACCTTTTTCCTAGCAGCCAGCTACACTCTTGGGTGTGGGAGTATAAAGTCACCCAGTCAAGTTAGTTAGCAATACCCTGACCGATGTGTTCTGAGAGAAAAGTGCTGTGCTTTGCCTGGAAGGAAGAGAAAACGGATTAAAAAACAAAGCAGCAGAAAAAATGAACCAGCAGATTTGGCACAGTTTCCAGAGTAAGGCGTTTCAGGTTGTTGATGACTCTCCCAATAGGTTTTAGAGCGACAGTTTTGGGCAAGTCACATACATCTTGTTGCACCCTCCTCCCCTCCTCATTTCAGGCAGTACTGAGAATACTTGCCATGTCATTGACTATTTACCAGGTGGAGGGGTAGTGCTTGAATTGAAGCTATTAAAATGGTGACATCCACAGTTTTTGGAGCTCACTGAAAGGAAGGTGCCGGTGTTTCCAGAATAATCTGAGGATTTCAGGTGTACCACCCTCCCATGCCTGATTGCATTTTGGGCTTTTTGTTTGTACAGTGGATATTTGGCCTGGAAATCTGAGCTTTTATCAGTTTGACAAATGTGCCATCGTGAGGAAAGAAGTAGAAATGAGGCATAATTGCTCTTTGCAGAAAATAAAAAGGTGTTAGGATCCTTAAAGTGTGACAAGCACTGTCTAGATTGAATATGATAGGTTTTTAATTACATAGTCAGACATAGGCAGTACATTTGACAGTAGTTCTCTGCCTCTTAAAATTAATCGATTTTGCTTGAGAATATTAAGTTCTTGGCAGAAGTTGTGGATTTTAGTTTTAAAAGCATTTAAGTATAGGAGCACATTCTGGTCTTGTAGCTCCATTTGAGAGTTTAGGAGTGTCAGGTTTATAATCCATTTGTGTTTGTTGCTGGCTTACTATAAAGCAATAAGAAGGGTATTTGTTTTCGGTCCTTCGTGATTCATTGTGCTGCCATGAGTGTGGAGAACAGCTCGTGCTGCTGGAGGCTGCAGAAGACCAGAGCAGTTGGCACAGACGCTGTGCGGCAGTTACCGTAACCAGAGGGCAGCGGGCACGGCACCCCAGTGAGCAGGCACCATTCGCATGGTCCGCCTTGCTTGGGAAACTGCAAGTGTTCTGCTGGATAGTTGAGAAGCATTGGCTCTGGTTTTAGATACCAGCATTGTTTTGTTCCTTTTCAGAAAACCAACCAGGTTAGAGAACAGCATGAATTACTGGATGCTTGCTTTATCTATATATAAAAGGCTAAGCGACAGTCTGACCATCTGACTGGTAGCTATGACGTGCAGTGACCACCAGGGGGCAGATGCTCTGACTGGTGGCTATGACATGCACTGACCATCAGGGGGCAGATGCTCAACACAGGAGCTGCTGAGCTGCAGTGACTTGGCAGTGGGGTTCTCAGGTGACACACCCTGGAACCAGACAGGAAGGAGCCCGATTCTGGGATGCGTTTCCCTGAGAACTGCCCTTTCACAATACGGGACCCCACCTGTTGGAGGGACCCCGCTCAGTCTGTGGACACCGTTGGAGCCATGGTGCTGTCTCAGACGCAGTCAGCCGGAGAGGGACCACAGGAGGTTGGCTCCAGAGCGTGTCTAGCCCTTGTCCAGTGCTGCCCTGCCGGCCACCTTCTAATTTTCTGTCAGTGTGCATGAACCCATGCATCAGGCACTAGTAGACTTATAAGAAGAAGAGAACTCCATGAAAAGAACCATAAGATTTGCCCTGTTTCAACTTGAACAATAATATGAATTACTGCTTAAGAGACTTTAATAAAAAAACGCCAGCTTCTTTGGCAGTGTTCTGAGCCATTTACTGAAGCCAGTGGCTAAAGATGAGATGAAGGTGTAGGTTGTTTCTGGCATAATTATGAAATTACAGCGCTCTTGTTTCCTGGTCTGGACTAAACTACTTGTCTCTTCAGAGTAGAACATTACTGTCATAGCTGATACCAAAATAAGTTGTTTTCTGAACTTGACATGTTTTTCTCAGTATATACTGTAGTAAGAGTTAAAAAAAATAAAAACAAAAACAAAAAACTATCTCCCCTTCCCTCAAACCATAACAAACATTTAAGGGAGGTGAACTGGACTGGACTGGTTGGTTGAGGGAGGGTGAGGGAGGGAGAGAAGGAATGGTCTAGTTCAGTGTTTCCCAACCTTCTCTCATGATGAGAATCACCTGGTGGAGTTGTTAAAACACAGATTCCCGGATCCCAACTAAGAAGTGCTAAACTAGAATTTTTGGGAACATATAGGTAAAATTGTATACCTAACTAGTGCTCTAAGACAGATTTTATATACAGAGCACTAAGTTAGGTAAGCAATTTTACCTATATGTTCTCAAAAATTCTAGTTTAGCACTTCTTAGTTGGGATCCGGGAATCTGTGTTTTAACAACTCCACCAGGTGATTCTCATCATGAGAGAAGGTTGGGAAACACTGGTCTAGTTTACTGTCTGGTTTCTGACTTGGGTGACAGTAGATTTAGGCGCAGTTAACGAGGGAGAGGTTGTAGGTGGAGCTACATGTCTGGAGTGGCCTAGTATCTGATGTGTTTGCTTTGGATATGTTTGGTTTATGATGCTATGGGTCAGCGAGGCCCAGCAAGAATTCGGGTGTAAGGGAAATAGCTTTGGACGGCTTCACACGTGGTGGATAAATCAGGAGTGTTGGTAAGGTCTCCCTGGAGAGCGTGTGGAGAACAGTAATGAGCCGAGGACAAAACCCTGGCGAACCGCAGGGTTAGTGAGTTAGGCAGAGGAAGTATGTCCGTGAGGGAGTGAAGAAATGGTTACAGAGGTTGCCAGAAAACAGTGGCTTGTCACGGAGCCAGAGAATAAAGAGTTTTAGAAGGCTTTTTTGGGTGAGATATTTAAAGCATATGATTTCACAGCCTGAGAGCCTTGTGACTGTCAGGCAAGTCTAGATTGTGCTGTGGAAACAACCCCCAAACTCAGGCCTAGAACAAGGTTTATTCTCACTCCCTGTCCATTGCAGGTGGCTGGGATCCACGCCGTCCTCAGGAGCAGTCAGCGGCTGGACCTTGCTGAGGGAGAGGGAAAGGACTGGAAGGGTCTTGACAGCATGCTCTGGTCTGGGAGTGACATGTCACTTTTCCTCGTTGGCTAGAGCTGGACGTTGGCCCTGCTAAACACCAAGGGGGCTAGGAAGTTCAAGCCCGCCTTGGGAGATAAACTGTGTTGAAAGTTGTTAGTTCTTTTTGTTAAATGATTAGTAGTGTTTCTGTCCTACATAAACTTCAGTGGGCTTGGGAGGGAGAAAAGATGTTCCTGGCCACTATTTCTTAATTTTATAATTTTAATGTTTATTTTTCAATTCCATTTGACACAGGAGCACTCTTGCCTGGTGGATGACAGGAAGAGGGTAGCTCAGTCTGTCGGTGTCCACTCTGGAGTTGAAGGTGTGACCTGTTCGAAAGATGCTTCTCTAGGGCATGTGCCTTTAGGGCTGGGTTTGTGTGTGCACGTTTCAGCCAGCATCCAGTGAGCTGTGTGTGTTTCAAACACGGGGCTAACCATTTTATCCAGACCGCCTCACTTCATCCTCATAGCAACTCTGTAAGGTACTTACCACTCTTTGTTTCCTTCTTTCATTAGAGACCTGGGCAATAGGCTTTCGCAGTTAACTTGCCCTGAGTTTTAGCTCTGAAGCTGAGGAGTTGCGATTCAACTATCACATACGCCATTTCTTCCTTGATGCTTTTGAATGCGTCACTCCATAACCTGGCAAAGCAAAAGTCAAGTCCACAAATTGCAAATTGTTTTCAACAGAATAATATGTACAGCTTTGGAATAGCAATTCATATTAAAATTAGCATAAAAATAGTGGGAGACTTGATCTGAGCCCTCAAGATGTTTAGATTCTAATTGCAGGGAAAAGGATGGTGAGAAAAATAAAAACAGGTAAGACATTAAATATTCAAGTAATATTTGAACATCTACTGTAATTAAAAAAATGTTAACTTTTTTGAAGTGCATTTTCATATAAAATTGACTCATCAAGTACTTGATTCAGTGATTTAATTTATCAAGCAGTGCAACAATCCCAACAAATCAGTTTTAGAACATTTTTATCTTCTCCCATGATCCCTGTTCCCACTCTCACCCCCAGGCAACCACTAATCAACTTTCTGTCTCTATAAATTTGCCTTTCTGCATGTCTCATAAAAACAGGAATCACCAGCATGTCTTTCCACTTTGCATAGTGTTTTAAGGTTCATCCATATTAGTATGTTCATCCAGGTTTCTTTTGGTTCCCTTGTATGATACTCCACATTTTACCCATTCATCAGATGGGGAAGATGTAAGTTTCAATGTTTTGGTTATGAATAATGCTGCTGTGGACATTATTGTGCGAGTCTGTTTCCATTTCATTTGGATAGATATGTAGGAGTCTCTGATAAAAATGGTAATTTTATATTTAGCTTTTTAAGAAACTGCCAATTTGTTTTCTCAACCAACGATGAGGGTTCCCTGATGTAAGTTAAAATTCAAGATGCTAATAGACAAGTTGTCATAATAAGTAGTACTTAACTGCTAAC